CCTCCCCCCTCCCTCCCCCATTATCATATTGTCATTGTTTCTCTCTTTTTTATTACTGTTTTCTTCATCTTTAATTCGTACCTTTTCCCGTTTTATCACAATATTTCTCATACCAGTCATTATATTTCGTTATTATCAAAACTCACTGCGGTCTAGGAGCCATTAATCATTTGGCAACAGAACAAAAGAGAGTAGAATGGAAGGGCCACTGAAGAACAAATCAAAATTTGACGTTCCAAGCAGGGTCAACGTGGAAGCCGAAACTGTCAAGCTATATTTTGTGGCCGTTGATAGGCCGAAGCATACCTTTCAAATAAGGGGCCGTACAAACCAAAGAAAATTAGCACGGCTGAATTTCATAAGTTTTAAGACTGGAAGAGTGGGATTTGGTAATGAATTGTGATGGGGAAGGTAGTTGGCCAGTTAATATGGTACAATGGTATGAACCTATTGGAACTTGCAGACTGTATAGCAGCATGCAGTGCGGTACGTCCAATATTGTCCACTTCATTGACATCCGCTCCATTGTTACACAGCGTGCGTACAACATTCACATAACCATGTAGAGCAGCAAGATGCAACGGCGTATGTCCAGATTTCGTTTTTCTGAAAAAAAAAAAATCACAAAAATTTCTTTCTAATCAAAATAGATGAGAAAGATTTTTAAATCCGATATCAAAATTTTTAAAAAATTTGAAAAAAAAAATCCAAAAGTGTGTCACTATGAATTAACAGAACTATTTTCGCGGGTTTTTTTTACTTCACTCTTACTTATTTGATGGAATGAAATTTTTTTTTTTTAAAAAGGAACCAACGACCATCCCTCCCCCCTTCACATGACCCCTGTAGCTTTTTTGAAGATTTCGAGATGAAAAATTGAATACAGAGGTACACACAGGCACACACGCACACACAGGCACACACGCACACATAGACACACATGCACGCACAAACATACATGTGCACACAGACACACATGCACATACAGACACACATGCACACACAGACACGCACAGACACACCTGCACATACTGTCACATACACACAGACAGCCCTTTGACAATATACGTTTTTGCATTGCATGGATGCAAAAAAATGCATTAAAAAAACATACAGATTGCACTGAGCTCCGGCAACAAGAAGATGCTTGACGATAAGATCATGGCCATGTCGGGAGGCCATGTGGAGGGCGGTAACACCGTGTGTTGATGTTGCTGCATCCACTGGGATACCTTTAGCAATCAGTGCTTTTGCCCGGGCTATTCGCCCATACTCACATGCAAAATGCAGTGCTGTACTACCGTCCGCTGAACGTGAATTCACATCGTTCATCACTTCCAACAGCAACTACAATAATTAATAACAATCAAGCTTTAAGTTCGGATTTTTATTTAAAGTTTCCTTTTTTGGCCAAAAAATTAATTTTTAAAATTTAATTTTAAAATTTGATTTAATACCCAATTTTAATTTTTAAAATTTAATTTTTAATTTAATTTAATTTTTTCGGCCAAATTTTTCGATTTTTTAATTTAACTTTTCGGTTTTAATTTTTTTCCTATTCCCAACAATCTTCACACTCAAATTACTTTCTATAATTATTTTTAGTTGCA